GTGGCGAATCGTCTGTCGAAGGATTTTCGAAGCGATTTTCCCGCTTTAGAAGCAACTTCAGACAATGCGAATTGGGCAGCAATATAGTTGAGGGTCCCGCAACTATTGAACATCGCATTCTTATAAACCCCATCTTGGGTGGACGGTGCCTTTGAAGATTCGTAGCATTTAGTAGCTACTGTTGATGATTTACTTTAAGACTCACTGTTTCAGATGCTCTTTATTGTGCCAAACATCGGAACTTTGCTGGTCATGGTCAAGAAGATGGGTCTTGTGTGATATGTACAAAACATGTAAATTATGAGAATAAATACATTTATATAGCATCATTTAAAACAGAACTATAAATTTCTACTAAAAAACGCACAGGTTGATTGGGGTTAACAAGACCGCCATGTTCAGTGCTAGCGAATTGCACATAGGAACATCTTGCTCATACAATTACTACAAAGATAATGCGGATAACATGGAAGCTAAGGCTCTGGGGACACACGGATAGAAGATATTAGCTGATCGGAAATAGTACATAGGGTGGATGGAGCAAAGTGACGATGAAGAGCCATAGCGCTGATGGCAAGGACCGGTTTTAATGAAGGATTGATTACTATGGCGAAAAGCAGCGGTCCTTCCGAGCGAATGAGTCAAAACGAAATAAAAAAGCGCCATGCTTGGAACAAGCTCTAATCGACAAGTTTAGCAAACTTCTTTTTTGTCTTGCTAAAAAGATGGCAGTGCGAGGTGGGGGAGCACCCGCCCCATCAACCACAGCACCCTCATCTTCAACAAGTTACTGGTGAATGTGATTATGTTAGTCGAAATCTATAAGACACGTTTTGGGTAAGCATTCAAAAATAGAGATAACGTCACAATATGCTAAAACATTTCGACAATCCATGGAACGACAAGGAAGCATAAGATACAGTTTGAAAGCAGATTGAATTCTAGGAAATCTGAAAGTGAGCCACAGAAATCAAACACCTAAAAATGGAAACAGCTATCGCTAACGATGATATCACATAGAAGTGTAAATTATTCACCTGACTACCAGTTTTGTCGTGGAGAAACGTTTACACCAGCTAAGCTCGCCACCGTGCTACCACCACCCAAACCCATTGGTCCCAAACCATCTGTTAAACGAGACATCACCTCGGACATCTCGTCAGCTTCCTCGTTTGCTTGCTTCATATCAGCCAGCACCCTAAGCAGAAACCCAATTGGTTGGCCACACATCAAAAAATAAAATCAAAAAATAAAAAAGGATGCAAGAGTACGTTGACAGCTGTAGAAGAGAAATGCGGTCGGAGCAAATTAGATAGAATATAATGACTCATTTAGTTGAAATTTAAACTAGGGGACAATTCAAATAGCGCTCACAAACTACTCGCTCAACAACAGGATTTATGCCAGAAAACCGAAGTGCAAAAGAGACTGCTACAACCTTTGGCTCTGTTGATTGTTATCCTAAGCTATAGCAGAAATATCTAGCATGGTGACCCATGGCAA